TGTTATAAATGATTCAAATATTAAGTCTGTACCAAAACCACCCTTAACTCAAACAACTTCTGTTACTGCTCCAAGTTCAAAATCACCACAAAAACAAACTTCTATTCCCACAACAACAACAACAAAAATCACTCAAACACCACCAGTCTCTATCCCCAAATCATCTCAACCAAAAATTCATATCAAACAGTTTGTTCCACAAACACATTCTTCACAGAAACAACCATCAGAACAACAACCATCAGAACAACAACCACAACAATCTGTACAACAAAAATCATCTGAACCATCCAAACAAACGCCATCTGAACAACCAGCAAAATCACAAAAATCTCAACCAGAAAAAGCCTCTGAAAATCAACCACCATCAAATAATCCTCCATCTGAACCCACTGCATTTGAACCTACAAAAGTCACTTCTGCTCCAATTTCTTCAGAACCAATCAATATTCCATCTGACTCACCCATCTCAGAACAACCATCAAAACCATCTGAAATTCCTTCAGAACAAACCAACACTTCTGAACCTCACATCCCTGAGACAGAAGTTCTTGATGTCACACCCTTAAAAACGGTGTTTCAAGTGTCTTCTACTTCCTGCACACCAACCACATCTTCTAACTCCTCAGAATCAGAACTCCACCCAGATTTTCTAATCTCTCCATCTGAAAAATACTCTGAGGTAAACCAACCTGAGCCTTCTATACCTTCAAAAGCTCCCATTCCAGATCCTATTCCCACACCTGCACCATCATCTGAGATATTAATCCCCAATTCAAACCCAAGATCTTCTATATCTTGTGCCCAATTGTCTTCTCTATTTCATAATTTGGCCTATGGTTTCAAACTAAAAGACTTTTATGACAGAGTTGAACCATCTGACCCCATCAACCCTCTGAAACCAAAACTCACCATGACCCTTCCATCTGTGATTCTTGATTACATAAAATCTATGTCAGATGTAGAATCTTTAGCAACCATTTCATGTTCTGCAAAATCTGATAAAGCTGTTGCTTCAGCTCTGCCAATTGCATCTGATAACACTGCTACATCTGATGAACCACCCAAATCTGCCTTCAAAACCTACTCAGATACACCTTTGGATGTTGTTACCAATCACACCAGAACAAAACCTCATCTGTTAAATGCTTTAAACAGATCCCAACCTCAAAAACCTGAGATACCCTTCATTCCATACTATCCTCCTCCTCTGATCTCAATTCAAAAATCTCTTTTTCCACCAACTCCCCAACCTAAACCTGTAACTCTGGAAACTTTGTTACGTCCAAAGCCCAGACTTAATGTTGATCATTTATTTCAAACATTTTTGCAAGAAATATAGATGTATTTAGGTACTGTTCAGAACAAATGCTCAGCAACAATGGATGCCAAAGAATCTGACATCATCTGGAATGGATTCATCAACAGATTCAACTCTGTAGCTTCAAATCTGAAGAACGTCTGTTCTGATGATGCAAAGCTCAGATTTGCTGAGGCTGCAAGGACTCTATTCTGGACTGTCAAGAAATCTGAACCTCTGCTTCTTATAGATGCTCCTCCACCTTCAACAGAATCTACTGAAACTGCATCAGAAGAAAATCAATTGGCTATGACTCTGGTAGACCCTCCTTCTACTTCCAAAGCTCCAGACTCTACAGAACCAATAGAAATTGACTCTGTTCAGGCTACAGAACCTAATCATACTTCTTCATCTGAGATAAAGAAAGAACATCCAGATTTTGAAGATAAGATTGCTGCTCTGGAAGCTGGACAGTCAGAGATCAAGTCCTGGATGGAAAAGCAGGATAAGAAGTCTGAGGATATGACAGAATGGATGTCAAAGCAAGATGAAAAGAATGAAACTATGGCTAAGTGGATGTCCAAGCAAGAGCAATCATCCTCTGAGATTACAGATCTATTGAAGATGCTTTTGTCCAAACACTCTTAATTTTTTTTTCATTCTAATGTTTTTGCATCTGTTGTTTGCATATGTACTTTATTGCTATATCTTCTGATGTTTTGCCTATGTACTCAAGATCTGATCAAATGAATGAATCAAAGTTTTCTCCATTGAATTGTCTAATTTACTGTTTCATTTTATTTGTCCTTTTAAAGTTTTTACTTTTTGCTTATGACAAAAAAAGGGGAGAAAATATAGATCTGAATTGTTTAATATAACTTCACCAGAATGAAACTTCAGACATATTTATTCTATCTAACATTTAATCTGACTATTTCAGAACTTTTGATAAGTACATTCTATAAAAGAAACTCTGAGTCTCTCAGATCATTTGTCTATTATCAAACTCTGAATCTTAAATCTGCAAGACATTCTGACCTTCAAATGTTAAAAGAACAAACAAGATCTAACTCTGAAGATTACTTAAAGACAAAAGGGAAGATTCTATTCCTTATTTGTATTTAACTCAGGGGGAGATTCATCATCTCAGGGGGAGTTATAATTCTAATATTTCCAATTAAACAAAATTCCTAATGCTTTTTGTCATCATCAAAAAGGGGGAGATTGTTAGAACACATATTGGTTCTTAATAATATCTCTTTGTTTTGATGATAACTGTTAGGAAATTTTGTATTTAAGAATTATATACTTTAAAATTTGCTTGAGAGTTTTACTGCAGATTGTAATGAAATTAACACTCCAGAAGCAAATCTGAATTGTATACAAGAAGTTATCTAGACTCTGAAGCGCCAGATGCATTCATTAGAAGATTCTGATTGCTGCTTACAGAAGTTCCTGAGCGTAGCCTCCAGAAGGATCTGAAGCAAGAAGCTCCAGAAGATTCTGAAGCAGAAGCTCCAGAAGAATCTGAAGCAAGCAGAAGCATCTGAAGCAAAGAAGAATATTGTATGAAGAGTTTTTCAAAGCATAGTTTCTACAGAAGATTCTGAAAGTACTAAAGCTGCCAGTACTGAAGTTCTGTGTCAAATATGCTCTGATGATTAACACGCTGAAAGCACACATGCTGCAGAAGACTCTGATACAGCAAAGTTCTGAACATCATTAGAAGACTCTGACTCAATCAGATTCTGATGAACTTGCTGAAAACTGAAGAAGAAATATTCAAAGATTATATCCGTTGGAGTAAATCAAACGTCTCTTTCCTCATTTGTGCTAGACACAAGAACACAGACAAAAAGGATTTTTCTGTGCCTTCTACTTCTAGGAAAGGTCACTTGATGTAAAGACAAAAAGGCTCAGACCTTTTTGGGACACTCTTCTCAACACTCAGCTCTCCTTGGATCAGCTGCCTATAAAAGGAAGACTCCACCAAATTCTTCAGTTAGACATTTTGCTGAAAAGAAATTATTACATTCAAGCTCTCATACTTTCATATTCATTCTTAGAATTATTTGTACTTAAACTTAAGAGAAATATCACTGTTGTGATAAAAGCTTTTTAGAAGCATTCATACTCTTGTATTAGATTTACATTGATTGTAAAGGTTTTCCTTAAGAGGATTCAGTTGGAATCAGTAGCTCTTGAGAAGACTAAGAACAGTTGTTCTTAGGTGTTACTATTGTAATCTATTTGATTAAATAGTGGATTAAGTCCTTGTTGAGAAAGGCAAATCACTCTAGGAAGGGTGGACTGGAGTAGTTGAGTTCAACGAACCAGGATAAAAATAACTGTGTTTTAATTCTAAGTTTTAATCTTTCATACTTATTCAACCCCCCTTCTAAGTATTATCTCACCTTCACTAATAGCACACACATTTGAACGGAGATGGATGCAGCAAACAAAATGGTCAAATTACGTAGTTCGTGTCGACAATCAGGAGACAATCGTACAAAATGTCTCAATGTATAATCAAGCACATGATCATAGTTTCTAATGTAACCGTGTCCCTTTAAATCATCAACAAATTTCATTCCATTGAAAACATAGCTAAGCGATTATAATTAACAGCAACATAAATTTAAAAAACATAACTTAATATCAAAACAACATTCCGAAAATAACAGCAACATAACCTAATACCAAAATAAAAATCCGAAAATAACAACAAACCCACATAAAACAACACAATGCATCAACTTGTCTAGGATATCACAACCATAAAGGTAATCTTCTTTGGTGTTAACATTATCACAAGGACACCAACATCATTTTCCACTTTTTTCAATCACGAGTAACTCCGTTTCTCTCTAACTCTTCAACCAACCTCTCAATTTTCCTAATCTTTTCACCTGCAACAATATCTCCTTCTAGCCAGCGGTTCAGTTCCCTATGCAAATGCTTCCAAGTCTGCATGTTCCACAGTAGCACCATTATCAGAGGCTTTGTTGTTGAAAAATAAACCAGGGCATTTCTTTTCATTAGAGGAAATGTTGAAAACGGTTCCTCCGATGATGATGACGACGACAATGAACGTTGATTTAGAAATGTAGACATTTTAGACTGATTTAAAAATTATGAAGAGTTGAGTCTATTGGTGAAAATTATTGTGAAAAAAGAGATGAGTGTGCAGTCTTATTTATGGATAAATGAAATAGTACAGACCACATATGATATGTCGTAAATACCTTTGCAAATTTATTATTTCTTTTAATTATATTTTTTTTATAAAATATTAAAACTGGACAAATTTTATTATCATTTTTAATTATATGTTTTTTTAACAAAATTTTAAATATTATATATAAAAAAAGGCCTACAACTGAGACGCCATATGATATGCGACTCATTGTAGGGTAGAGTTTTTGAATTATACTCTTACGCCATATGATTTGGCGACTAAGGTCAAGATGACATTAATCAGCCACTTTATATGGCAACTCAATGTACAAACATAGTCGATATTTTTTTTGAATTTTATTTTTATTTAGTATTTTAAATGAAAAATATAATTATTTTTAAAAAAAAACCTCCAAACTTAATACTAATTCACTTATTGAAAAGATACTTTTTATTAAATTAAATACTCAATACTCATTATACATTAAAAAAAACAACAAGAACAAACTTTTATATTTTAAAGCTACATTCCATTCCTTTGCACAGAAGTTGCAATCTCTTCCTCCATTTTCCGAGCCATAACCTGAAGGCCAATACCGTACTTTCCCACCAAATCCTCCGACTCCAAACCATCAACAGGATCAACGGCGAATAACCATTCAATCACACAACCACCGTCACCGTCGCCGATAACCCTCATCGTTGACTCGTACGACTTAAACCCAATATTACAATCCACGATCTCATACGTAAGACACCGCTCAACATCATCAACGGCTACCAATCTCTCCTTCGACCAGCTCACTTCTTGAGACCCGTCCGATGGGAGGGAGAATCCGGCGCAGTATCGTATACATCCGGGCTCACCGTTGGATCCGTGGATGCCGTAACATGTGGCGAGGTTAGGGAAACGTTTGTGGAGGTTGAAGAAGTCTTTGACGAGTGGCCAAGCTTGGTGTTCGGTGGTGTTTTGGAGTTTGGTTGAAACTTTGCCTTCCCATCTTTGAACTAACTCTTGCTCCATTTCTGCTTGCAAACAATCAGGGTTGAGATTTCACTCACTCTCACCGTCCTCTCTCATTTATAAAATAAAAATGCTGTGTTACGTGTCTTCTCTTCATTTACGTAACTAAAAAACCTTATTTTAATTTGTACCCAAAATAAAGAAACTTGATTTAAAAGTTGAGAATTTGAAAATTAATCTATTATCAATATAATAAAGTTAATAGTCGATTTAATTACATAATTTACCTTTTAAATTAATTCTTAATTATTTTTTCATGTTCTTAATGGTCCTTTGCATCAGACACATTTACAATTAATGAGGTTATATGATTTGATTATTTCCAATAAATTCTATACATTAATAAAACAACAATTACGCCTTTTCCACTCCACATTGCTAACTGTTTTCTCTTTCTCAGTTTTTTTTTCTTCTTTCACAATACATTGCTAAGAAAAACTATTATCATGTCTTTTTGAATTTTTCTGTCAAATTCAAAAGACAGACATTTTGTATTTTATCAAATTTTAATATAAACCCTATACTCTTTTGTCTATATAGTCTTTCAATCCCACTTTTCAACACAATCATAGCAGACACTGCATGTAAGGTAAAAGTTGCTTTTTTTTTTTTTTTTGGGTTCTTCTTTTTTAATAATTTATTTAGGCTTCTTATTTTTTTTCCTCTTGCAATTTCTGCACGCACTAACGTCTTATGATTTTTTTTCCTAATAACTAGAAGTCAATGTCTCGAAAATTCGACTTCGTGCGTGATATGAATGATTCTAAGAAAACATGCGTCTTATCGTTCGTATTCTTGATGTATAGAGTGCCACTAATAGAAAGGGTATATAACATCTTGAGATGGTTGTAATGGATGTCAAGTTCTAGTGTATTTTTGTGTATTCTTACTAATTTGTGCTATTAAATTTGGAAATTCCTTCAACATAATGTATTTCGTTGTTTCAATTCCAAGGTGATCGAATACAAGTTTTGGTTCGAAATGACCATACAGCAAAGTGGAAACAGTTGTTGAAAGAAGATATGTCTTGCATAATAAATAATGGTAATGTTTACGACAACGATTTTCATTGCACGGTTTGTGGTCGCCTGAAGAAGTTTGTTTTCTTAAGTGGTACAACTTTAAACCAATTGAGCTTGCCAATATTCCTACTACTAAGTTCTTCTTCAAAGATTTTTCTGATATTCTTAAAGGAGATTGTGAAGTTAACATGCTTGAAGGTATTTGGTTTTCTTAATATTTAAGTTGTATATTTTTTTGCTTAATATGGAGTATGTGACGTATTTTTATTATCAAATTGTATTATCAGATATAAGTGTTGCCCATGAGGTTAACAACTATCAATCGAAATAAGGCGGGAAGAAGATTATGGTTTCCTTCAGACTTAGGGATTTGGGGTTAGTTTGTTTTATTAATCTTACAATCCATTTATCACATATGTTGAATATTTTTATAATTAATTCAGAATGTTATGTAGGGGCAATATTATAAAGTGTAGTTTATGGGACAACTATGGAACCAAGTTTTTGAGTTATTATAACTGTCGCTACTGCGAGAAAAGGTGCCGGCAATGACAGAAGAGTCGCCACCTTTCGTTATTTATCCCACAGAAAGGGAAAGGAAACGATCGGAAAAACCTGACGAAAAGGTATAAGACAAGGTCATCGCAACCATGTCTGGGTTCGGGAGTCGGTTACGTAAGGGGAAGGTATTAGCACCCCTCACGTCCGTTGTACTCAACGGGATCCACACTTGTTGTGTTTATCTGACGGGTTGGTTTAATCTATCTACCTATCAAGGCTGGTCTGAAAAGAAAAGAAAAATGACTCGGCAGAACACAGCAGTTCTATGCCTACGTATTCCTGTCTGGAACGAGAAATCAGAGTCAACGTAGTTCGCCTAACTACGAGTGAAAAAAAAGGGGGAAGGTTTCTCGCCGAGATATCGCATCTCGTGCCTATGTACTTTCACACGGCATGAAAGATCAGAGCAAACGTAGTTCGGGCTAACAAGACCACAGGTTGGTTCAAAATGTTTTACCCGAGTAGGGTTAACAAACGATTCTAGCAGTTGGTGTATGCAACTCGACCTTTAGAGATTGTCGCTACTCGAAAAATACATCGCAACGACGGGGAATGCGAAAAGGAAAAGGACAGAAGAGTCGCCACCGAACTTTATTTATCCCATGAGGGGAAAGGAAAATATCGAGAAAACCTTAAGAAAAGAACGGATAAGATGATCTCGCAACCAAGAACGGGTTCGGAAGCCGGTTATGCGAGGGGAAGGTATTAGCACCCCTCGCATCCATCGTACTCGATGGGAACCATTTGCTTGTCGAATGTGTGAATTTATTTGCTTAAATATTATGCTATAAAAAAAAAGTGTTCCAAAAGATAGGGAGAAAAAGGGTTAGAAATAGGGAAAGGAGGTAACAGAGGGAAGAAGGGAAAGAACGGACTCGGTATGACTTCGCGGTCCTAGGCCTACGTATTCTCAACGGATATGAGAAAATTAGAGTCGACGTAGTTCGGGAAACTACGGATATAAGGGGGAATGTGCTCGGCAAGGATTGTGGCCCTTGTGCCTACGTATCTTTACTTGAAAAAAGTAAAGAATCAGAATAGCCGTAGTTCGGCCTACGATTTGTTGATGTTTTTATGGATGATGCTATCGTACGCATTCTAGCAGTTAGGTGTATTGCTGCTCGCTCGTTGGAGACTTAGGCATTACCTGTTTGCGGTAGAACGGACGTATCATATCCTTTTCGAAAGATAAGTTTTCGCCATGCGAGGCAAGATGTCACAGTTGATTTGTTGAATTGTTTTTTAGGGGCGAGATAGGTCCTCGGATAGTAACCCCTACGGGTAGTACCCAATTCTTCATCTCAAAGTTTTTTGTTATGAAAGGGTGTGGCGAACATAGCATCTTCGTATTGAAAGACGAGTATCAAAACCATACACACTACAGTGAGCATCTCGACACTCGGAGAGGAAGAAGTCTACACTTAATCCTCTTTCTTTAGTTCAATACAAAGAGAACTTCATTCTCTTATTTAAGTGTTTTTGGTTTTGAATGGTAAGTGCTTTTGCGACAGAGAACCCTACGGTAAACGTCAGCACTCGGGATAGGAGAAAGCCTACGCCTAACCACTCCACGACCATTCAAGTTTTTGTTACGAAAATAAGTTTGAAAATGCGCTCGGTGCAGAACCGAGATTTTTAGGCGAAAAAAGGTGTGGATGAAAACGTCTTCGTATTGAAAGACAAGTATCAAAATCACCCACACTACAGTGAGCATCTCGACACTCGGAAAGGAAGGAGTCTACACACAATCCCTTCTCTTTAGTTCAATACAAAGAGAACTTTACCCTTTTATTAAATATGGTGAATTGGCTTAACAATCCTTTGAGAAAATCCGCTTGACGTTGGGTCAAGAGTTTAATTGCTTAAAAAAGGTTTGAGGTGACACGAACAAGGTCGATGGCGGACGCACAAGGCGGCCGACTTACATGGTCGAAAATGGCTCGATAAAATCGAGAGTTTGTTTTTTTGAAAATGGTTATGTAATCAAGAGTCAACAAAGACAATAGCAATATTTACACTAAAACCATGCAAACATATGGGTTAGTCGGCAAAAAAATCGAGACATGCGAAAAAAAATTTTAGGTAAAAAAACAAAACAAAAAAGCATAAACAAACTGATCAGTTCGCGCCGCGAACTGAGAAAAGTTTTGATTCTGTTTTTGAGAGTTCGCGCCGCAAACATGGGTCACGCTGCGACCTGAAGCGAAAAATACAGTATTTGCTGTATTTTTTGCTGTCTTTTGTGATTTTCTTCCTTTTTATTGGTTCTTTAAAAATGGTTTTTTTTGTCCCCTTAGAATCTTACATGGTATACTTAGTACAACAACATAAAAAATAAAAGACAAATGCAAGATATAAAGAGGGAAAAGTTTAAAGAAATGGATACCCCAAGAGCTTTTATCCTTCTCGCGAATACTCCATTGGTTTTGGTTGGCTGTGCTCCCCCTTCTTCACTCTATATGGTGAAATTTTTGATCTTCAAAGGTTCCTTGTCTTTCTATGGAACTCTTTTTTTGGTTTTCTCTCTTACTATTTTCTTGGTTTTTTTTTGCAATGTGTGTTGCTCTCACTATTTTCTGTTTTTCTCTTCTCTCTTACTCTCTCAATGTTGTGTATGTGAATGGTAGTGAATGATAGATTTGTTTGCAGCTCCTTCCTTTTGTTGACAGCCCCTTTCCCCTCTCATCTCACTTTTTCTGCTGTACCAAACCAATGTCTCTTGCACAAGCTTCAATTTTCAGAATTTCCATTCTTGGCAACAATTATGGCCACTTTCTTGGTGCAACCCCACTTTTTCCACTTCTAGTATGCTGCTTTTGCTGTATTTTTTCTGCAGCACTCCACCTTGCTATCCATCCTTGTGTCCATTGGTTGGTTATGCTTGGATCTACACATGTAGTCTATACCACTACCTTTTGACAACATTTTCAAATTCTAATTTTTGATGTGTAGATGTATCAACATAAGCTCATAGCCCTGGTTTTGTGACATAAAATGATTTTGTAATATGATACACATTGTCACTTCTTGCATGGGGCTGTTTTGGATTGCATTCATATTGCTCATGGTTGAACATGCATGGTATTGATCTTGAGATATTCCAACATTGAATTAGCTCTTAAATATTTTCCTTGCATGTTTGTAAGCACAAAGAGGGTCATGTGGACTTGATGGAGCATGGGGGATACCATGACATGAAGTTATTTTTAGAAACTTGAATTAAGACTAGAAATAACTTAATTTCCTAAGCATTACCAAGAGTTTGGATTTTGTAACAAAATGTGACATTCTTGCAAATGTCATGAAATTTTCTTTGTAATATTCTTGAATCTAGCCTTGAATTCATGAATCTTGAATTTGAAATGATGGACTTCCCTTATGTCATTGAATTTGAAAGAAATGAAGAAATGAGTCAAG